GCGAGTGCTCCTCGGTGGCGGCTGATGCAGGCTCACAATATTCAATGATGGTACGGGTGGGTTTGGTGACAGTGGATACGGAGATGTGGCCAAAACAAACATTGCAGGGGCGTGTCGAGCGCAACGAAGGGGAACGTGAGGGACCGTGTGGCTTTGGATAGGGTCTTAGAATCAGGATGCTCTTCGTCTCAGATTCAGCGATCCCCAAATTCGTTGCTTCAGCTGTCGAGGACCGTGAGGGAGATCGTGTGGGCTCGACGGGCTGAAAATAGGCGGATCCTATTCATGACATGGCTCTTAGGTTGTCAGTCCCTCTTCAGATAAGATGAAACCCGTGCGGTGCCCTGCATATGATCAGTGGCTATCGAAGTACCTTCTGTCGTCAGCTCATCATCTACCCCAAAACACAACATTTCGTCTCCGAGCGAGTGCCGCCTTTTCATTGTCATGCCTTATCTAGAGTGTCATAGCTGTAGAGTGTGTGCGAGCTGTGACTTAGCGACAATGAGCATTGTTACGAGATTCCTTTGTTCACAGCCGTCTCTGAGACAAGAGTGAATCGAGAAATTTTGTCAATGCACCTTTGTTAGTAGAGATTCATTCTTTATGCATCAAGGAATAACGCAATTGTTGCCATTCATTTTGCTTTGCTGACAATGATCTTTGTTACTGACTTTGCACCACTGCCTTCTAAACACCTGTATATATTGGCTTGACAGCATTCTTGTGTTAATAGCTCCACCTTCATCTCAGTGCACAGCTTCAACTTCCTCCCAATCACATCAACTCAACTCGTTGAACCACCGTCAGCTCTCACTACCATCGTCCAGAAGATCAAAGTTCCAAGCAAAAGTTAAGTTTCAAGAGATGGCAGGGGAGCGTCTTCCTACTTTACCAAGCATGGAACGTAATTCACGCGGTGAAAGTCCACGACCGCGCCCGATCTCAGTCATACATCGCGACATCGAGCAAGCTCTCGCAGAGCTTGAAACGAGCAGTGAAGAACACGATTTGGAAATGGCAGAAATCCACCGTGCTATCGATCGGCTGGATGCTGAAATAGCCCTTCTTTCGAGAGATGGAGACGATCTATACTACCCCGACGATTCAAGTCTCCTGGATCTTATCACCCCTTCGTTGCCAACAGGAGAATCGTCGGAGGACAATGTCTCCACGCAGGCAGGGGCAAAGTTCGTTGACCAGCTTCCAGGCATGAACTTGAAGGACCTACCGAAGGATAGCAGCTGCAATATCTGCATGGATCCCTTCAGCAGCACCGAAGACCCCGAATTGCCTGTCCGACTTCCATGTGGCCATGTCATAGGCCGGAACTGCATCTCCAAATGGCTGGCGACAAGCAACAGCTGTCCGCTATGCCGACGTGTTTTCTTCGAACCAGAAGTGCGGAATCCACCGTTGACTGAGACGGAACTAAGGGCTATGCTTCAAACAACTCGACCGGCTACCGAGACGGACCTGGATGAACGCCTGGTGTTAGCCAGTCTGAGTATGCAAGATGTAGAGTCCTTCGGAAGGGAACTCAACGAGATCACGCGTCAGCAGATTGCAATGGAGAGGAGGCTGGCTAGCTTTGAGGCACAGAGTACTCCGCTGACCCCTGGGAGTGAAATGCAACTCAGAGAGCTCATGGCGGATAATGTGGAGCTGCATGCGAGATTGGGGGATTTCAGTATTCGTCATCGGGGGTTGATCGAGAGTCATGGGATTCAACTTCCCAGGGTAGGGCGATTCTTCTCGGGGCTGTAGTCGAGACAGTTGAGCGGTGAGACGGTTGCGAAAGAAACGGGTACGAGGGGTTTTGAATAGCAAGTAGGTGGTCTTGTATCAATGGGAATGCGCCTTAAGAGGTTATACTATTCTTGTGTAATATGGAAAGGTTATTGTAGTAAGAGCCAGTGTGCCTGCTGGAGTAGACTGATATGCGATTACCTTATAGACCCGCAAGACCTGAAATCATATGAGTCATGTTGTCGATCTTTTCCGCGCAGCTAGGATTGGCCAACATTAGAGCGTAATTGGTAGATATCTTCCGAAAAAGCCTTTTCATTTATATCAATACCAGTCTCCTCCACCAACAAGTAGCACCTATGCAATAGTCTCAGGTAGAAAGCCTGCGCGCTCAGTCACCATCAAATGCTGTTTCCTGTGCGAGCAAGTCTTCACAGATACACAAGATTCAGTTCTTGAAAACATGCCGTAGCTCCCTAGCTTCACGGCTCAGCAACCTCTGTTTTGCACCTTGTTTATCCACGGCTTGTCGTCAATATAATACCTTGCGAGACGAATGATGCAAGGTCGATTCCAGAAAGACACGTGACTTGCCGAAATTCTGTCGACCTATCTCGATTTCCTCTCTCAGATTTTGGGTGGAGAAGTATCCATCTTTATACCCTTCCTTTCATCAAACTTAGTTGTCCCTCGAACATCTGCGAAGCCTGTAGTGTAATCCTTGCTGGTCAAGACCATATTTTTGCGCTTGTGAGAACTAAACAGCCCACGCAGATTTCAATCTATCTAAACTGGTAGTAAGGGAGCCCCATGTGTCCACAGCCCACGAGCCGGCAATCCTGCTTGTTCATGGAGGCTTCCACTTGCCAGCAACGTATAATTCATTCTGGGATCTTCTTTCAAAGGCAGGATTCCTTCTACACTGCCCACATCTTTCGACAAACGGCGATGTGGCGCCTCCCAATCCAAGAATCGAGGACGATGTCACGACTGTACGCGCTGTGGCATTCGACCTAGCTAGCTCCGGCTATCTAATCATAGTCCTTGTGCATTCTTATAGCGGACTCATTGCTTCCGAAGCTGTCACGGAGGAACTTACGCGAAGCATGGAAACGGCCAGGCGTCGTCCGACTCATCTATATGAGTGCTTGGATGATTCAGTCAAAGTCTGCCTTACCCCACTCGTTCGAGAAAAACGGATACCAATTTAATTTGGAATTGGCTGCAGGGTTTGCTGGATCGAAATCGCGATTAGGCTGGGAGGTGATCATACTATAGAGATATGGGTGTGTGGGTGTTGAGATAGGCTGGCGTCTTGGTTTTTGGTGATGGAATCAGTGCCATTAGTTGCCAGAATTCAAATTGCCGTTTTTGGTTGTTCAACACATTGTTCTATGGTGGAGGGAATCTAGTATCGAGAATGCATGACGTCCGAGAGTGTCGAATGAGCCAGATATGGAAACCGCCTTCTGGCACAGTCTTGCCCAAACCATGACAATGTCCCGAGGAGATGTTTGCACTAGGCGGTCTCTTTGGCCAGGTCTCCGTTGGTGAGGCGTAACAGAGACAGCGAAAGGCCGAAGCGCCCACCATGCTTGTCATCTTTTTGGCCTGGCTCCGGATTTTGCCAGATCCAGCACGTTCTCAACACACTTGACGTGAACACAACAGAGCTGCGCGTAACACACCTCTGAGCATAACACGTTGAATCGAGTATAAGTGGTCATGCGGCAGCACTGACCTGGTCTTATTTCTACATTAAGGCACCAAGAAAATCCAAGCAGAGAATTTACCAGGTTGTATCCGAACAAGTTTATACTGCGAAAGAAAATTTATACATCACCATTAAAAGAGCCACCTGCTCAACAGGGACGCCACTCAAGACTAGGAGGTCATGCCTCCAAGCTGTATAGTCGAGAATTTCCTCAGTTCGCTTCCGGTCGTCAACCTGGAAGACCTATGGGCTCAACGGCAGTGTGACATATGTCATGAGTCTTTCTTCGAATGGGCGGAGAAACCGCTGAAGCTCCCGTGAGTACCTCTTGAATCTCGTCTCCAACGGATATTGCTGTGGCTTGCACGCGGTATTTCTTTAAGCAGGGTGTCCCTCAACATATTACGAAGCTCACAAGCTACGTACTAGAAACAGAATGCTGACATAGAATTGCTAGATGCGGGCACATCTTCGGAAGTAAATGTATCGCCGAATGGCTGTCCCCCACTGCGGTTGACCTTAAACCAAAGAACACTTGTCCCATATGTCGAGAGGTGCTCTTCTCACAATCTGGACGGCGATTCTGGGACAGTACTTCGCTTGTACCAGGTACGCGCGGAGTACGTCTTCCGGTTCCTCTCCTCACCTCCGCAGCCCGTGGTGGCCGTCAGAATGCAATCATTCATCCTGGACTTCTTGCTCGTCTGGCAGAGGCTCAAAATCGAGGTTCTGCAGGGGGCCGAAATGCACTCGGCCCAGTTGCAGAGGCACTAGCGTCACTTCGTGCCATCATCAGAGAGCTTCCGGGTAACAAAGCAGGGAGAGAAACCGCGGAATCGATCCCCGTTTCTGTGATGGACGATGCAGTGCACTCGCTTGCTGCGCAAATGGGCCGTCTTTATGAACATCATGAGCCACGAATAGACGAGGAGACGACTAGTATTTCTTGGGATTCGGAAGGTCCGGAGGTTTCATTTCTGCGGGACCCAGTGTGGGCGCGGTGGTGTGAGTGGCAGTTGCAGGAACTGGTGTACATGGAGCTCAACACGGTATAGGGATCTCTGCCGCATCTTCGGGTTACTGTGATCGATGTATGAGGGGTCAGCGTCTGGTATCAGGTGGAAGTGGATACTATGGCCCTGTAGACTGGCGTTATCCACAGTTCGATTGCTGGTTTGAAGCCACAGTGAGACTGTGTTAGTGCGTAAATATCAGAAGTATTATAGCCGTGAATCTGTAAAGACCGTGTAGCTGGTTGTAAAATGCTCTTTATAACGGCTTGTTTCAGAAAATGAAATTTGGCATGCCTTAAAACATACTTACCCTCCCACCACCCAAAGGAGTTTCATCGCAGCCGGCAATCGAGATGCCAAGGTCTTCTTGTAAAACCTTTAGACGCAACCATGTTCGGAAAGGTAGAAAGCAAGAAGGGGCCTTGGGGTCATAAGCCAGTAAAGCGAGTGAACCAGAGAGGGAGCTGCATGCTGATGCAATGGATTCGCAGGCGCTCCTGACCAGTTGTGGCCGACGGTTTTATTCAGTTGTCTTCCACAGCGTATTCCTTCTTCATCTTCTCCAGAGCCTCTCCTACCACGGTGATATAATCGATCATATCACATTTACACACTAGACTGACAAGTCCGTGAATACTTTTCGATCCTTCCAAAAGCGTTTGCGACACCATAGCCGGCTTCCGAAGCAAGCAGCCCCATCCTCTGTCCGTCCAGAAAAAGATCTCTGGCCCCAAAGGTGTTGGGTAGGATCCATTCCAACGACCCATGATAGAATCCATACCATCTTGTTCTGTTTTTCCCAAGCCAGTAAGTTGCCTCCCGTAAGAGCTGGATTCTCCTTCATTTGTGCGTTCAGCGCCCTCCATTCCGCCTGTGTTCTGGCCGGTCAAGACATCTCTTGGTATGATATCGGCCTTCGCCAAACCACTTGTGCTCCTCCCAATACCCGAAGTTTTATCAGTAGCACGCTGCAGTGCTCCCCGCTGATTCTGTAATCTCGGGCTCAACCGCTCCTCTTCTTCGCGCATATCATCCTTGATAGACTCACACGCTCCCTTTTCCTAGCCACGGCGGACACTTCGGTCAGCAGCCTCAGCATCATGGTCTCGAGCAAACGTCTCCGAACGCTTTCAACTTTCCCCAGTATGAGGGATCTCACTGGCCACACCTTGAGGTTTTTTTCGCGTGCAACTCCACTAATGGTGAAAGAGGTTGCGAGTAACTCCTAGCAATAGAGGCTGGAGGAAGAGTCCTCAGGCACTAAGCTAACAGAAATAAGTCGGCCGACGACTAAGTATCTCTATTGTGCAATTATCTCCCGGTCTACAGTCTTCCTTGGCATCCTTGAGATTTTTGGTGTCTTGACTTGAGAAGGACAGATTTAGAGCTTTGGTGAGCGAAGCGGCAGCCAGACATGAACCAGGCATGGTTTATCTCTATGTCTCATATCTCCAGGAAACCACATCGAGTCTAAAGCATTTGTCTGATTCTTTTTGTACAGAGGAAATCAAAGAAAAAGAGAGTCCATCCACCCAAGACTACTAAACCAAGCTTTCCGTCCATACAGAATCCCATTCAAAACACCATCCTCAAATTACCGAAACGTACAGAACTCTCAACCCGAACCCCACCCACATCTCCATCTCCAACCCCATCCCCATCTCCACCAACTCACCCCGCCACCCCTCCCGGCCTATCCGCCCCCCTCACCAAGACCCCAAACACAACTCCCGCAACCACAAGCGCGAGCACAAACACCCACCCAATGAGACAGTTCCGGCTCCTGCCCTTACCCTTCACCCCCGCTATCGTCTTCATCCTCCCTTGGCCCTCCACATCGTCCCCCCCATCCCTCGCATCCCGACCCCCCCCGCAACTCCACATTCTTGAACCCCGCCCCAGAGCGCCCCTCGTGACCGCCCGCCCCGTTCCGATCATGCGGCCGCGCGGTCGGCGCCGGCGCCTCGAGGTGCGGGGCGTGGTCGGCGAGGTACAACGTCGTTGGGCGTGGCGTTGCGAGTGGGTTTCGAGACGTTTCCTGTATATGCGGCCCGTCGTGGCGAGCGGGATGCTCTTCTTTTGCTGCTACCTCTGCACCTGCACGCGGCGCTCTAAACCCCCATTCATCTACTCCGTGTCTATCCAAACGCGGATCCGGACCCACGATCGAAACGGGCGACAGGTATCCCAGCGTGGGCGAATCGGGTCCGAGGGGCGATACGGTTGGTTCTTCTGCGTGTCGAGGGTAAGTATCGGCGGTTGCGGGGTTGTGGTATTGGCTTAGGGGGCCGAGGGATTCGGGGCGTGGTGGGAGGGGGGAGAGGGGCGAGGGGAGGGGTGGGTGTGGGTGGGGCATGGTGGTGGATTTGAATTTGGAGTTGATTTTGGGTTTGATTTTGGTGTTGGTTGTAGGGTTTGGTTTGCTTCGGCTTGAATGGGTGGTGTGGCACGGCCTGCGTGGACGTTCTATCTGGCGAGGTAAGAGAAGCAGAGAAGGAGCCAGTGGCTGCTTTTGCGGTCGTTTGTTTACTGCTGTAGGGTGAGAGTGCAGATAGCGAGAGAGGGCATTGGGAATTGTACTAGGATTGGAATGTGTCGGAAAGATGTCGAATGAGATGGGCAATTCTTTCTTTCTTTCTGAACATTGGCCCCAGGAAAAGAGACAATTTTTAGAATTACTAACAAAGAAACTCGTGCTGTGAAGACGCGAGCACAAATGATATTCGGGAACCCCTTTGTTGTCGTTGTTTTTCTCCACTACAAGAGACAAAGATGAATCTTCTTTCTTTTGTTTTCGTTGTTTTCGACGAGTATGTGAGAGGTTTTTTCCTTTGTCGTGACCATGATGGGCGATGGGTGCGAGAAGCTTGTATGCGGTCTAGCAGCGTCGAGAGATGGCGAGGAGAGCAGAGGAGAGGATGGCGGTGAGTGTTGTATCTAGTAAGAATAGATATACAGAGGGGGGGAAGACGTTCGACGGTGTTAGGGATCTCGTCCGCTATGCTCCAAAAGACGCAGTACCACGCAACAAGAGCAGAATGAGCCGCGGCAGTCATTCTGTAGTTAGTGCTCGCAAACAGTGAGGCCATACACAAAACAACGCATGCACAAGTAGATATATAGATAGGTAATTGGACATATCCAATACTAGGACAGCTAAGACCTTTTTAGACATACAAATAGTTTAAAAAAGGCCTTCCAGCGCTAGAAAACTCCTATATCTGAGCGATATAACCTGGAGTGAAATAAGGCTATATATAGGTGTGAGTGGGTGAGAGAAAAATAATATAGCTCTAAAAGAGATGAAATCGAATGAAGAGCCGTTAATAGATGTAAAATAGATAGCTATATAGCTCGTACTGGATATCTATCCTTAACCCCTTATCGGAGTATTAATAGAAGTATTAATAAGGGTATTAATAGCGAACGGCTAATTAAATAGCTATTAACGCTATAACTTTATAATAGATCTATTAATCTATAATTCTACTATTACGATTAATACTCGTAAATAGTAAGATTATATATAAAATAATATATATATAAGTAGATATATAAATAGATAATTAGATATATTTAATACTAAGATAACTAAGACCTTTTTTAGATATATAAATGATTTAAAAAAGATCTCTTAGCGCTAGAAAACTCTTAAAATCTAAAATATCGTTTAAAAAGAGTAAAGGTCTTAAGAAAGACTTTTAACGATATTTATTATAATAAATAGTAGAGATCGATAGTACTAGCGTAAATAGACTAAAAAATATTAATATTATAATAATACTTTAAGTATATAAGCTAGATAAGTAACGATATATAGACGATAGAAATCTAACTTTTAACGGCTTAATAATTAAATCTTATTATTACTAAGATCGATATTATATACTAATATTATAATCTCTCTATAAAAAAAATAATCTAAATAATAGCTCTTAATACTAAGTAACGTTAATACCTCGCGGAGATTATTAATAACGGTCTCTCTAGTAAAGAAGAAGCTCTTTAATTAAAATAGCGATATATTAAATAAAGCTTTCTATCTAAAGAGATAATATAAGACTTTAACTATATATATATTATCGCTTAATATAACTATTATAAGTATAATTCTATAGCGAAATAAGTTCGTTTTAAACGCTAAAAGTATAAGTTCTAGATAATTATTAAATAGCCTTATTAAGCGACGTATAAGAAACTATTCGCCGAAGTTCTTTTATTAAAGATCTCGCTTATTATAAGTAAACTTATTTATATATAGAAATATTATAAAGACGAGATAAAAGAAGATATATAGAGTCGCTCTAGTATAGATTAACTTATTAAAATAAGAAAGAATTTAAAGTAATAGATTCTTAGTAATTAGACGTCTTTTCTTTATATTAACTTCGTTATAAAAATATCGACTATCTATAATAATACGTTATAATTAAGAATAATAAAATATTAAGAGATTATTAAATTCTATATCTATATAGACTAATCTAAGATCGATAAGATATATCTTTATAGACTTTAACTTAACGCGGCGAGTGCTTAGATTAATAATTTAGCTTATAAAAGTATTTATAGTTATTAAAAAGAGAGATTAAATTTCTATAAATGCGTAATAGATCGTATAAAATCTTATTAAAATTATATATATCTTTCTAATTTTAATAGTAAGCCCTTATTAAAGAAGTCGTATGGTCTCTTAAGATAGTATAATCTAATTATACTAATATTCTAATAAATCTTATTCTATTTCAGCGGAGATATAAGATCTTTTAGCTATAGATATACGTTAGCAATTTTTCGATATTAAAAATATAATAGATTATTAATCAGCTAATTAATCTTTATAGATATTTAAGTAAATACTATTATAATATCGTAAGTAGTTATTAGTATAGCTATATCGCGTAATAAAGCTATAGCTAGCCTTTATATAGAGAATTTATATAATTTATTAACGTATATAACGTTATCGTAGTAAAGAATTAAGCGAGATTCTTATAACTAATATAATTATAGCTTTATCGCGTAATAAACGACCTTTATTTCTTTAAATTATATATCTTTAAAATAATAATATATAGCTATTTTAATACTAAAAACGTCTTTAAGCTAAATCGATTAAATATAATCGAGATAGTCGAGAATATAGCCTCTTATATCAAATTTTCTAGACGTATTAATTTATATATATTATATAACTCGACTATCGACATAGCGTATTAAGGCGATATTATTCTAATATTTTAAAAAGGTATTTTACTATAATAAGTCTACTCTTATATTATCTATAATTCGTATAATTATTATAAGTCTTTAAAGGATATTAAAAAATCGCCTTAAGAATACTCTTTTTAAAATTACGACTTTAATAGTAAAAGAGAGAAAGCTAATTATTAACTCGAGCTTCTAATATAAGATAATTATTCTTTTTAAAAGGTTTTTAATCGTAGTTCTCGTTTTAGTTAGTTTATTTAAGGGGAGTCTCGTCTATATATAAATACTATCGAATTTGATTTTTAGAAAATCGACTATAAAACTTATAATATTCTTTATATAATTAATTTAAAGACTTAATTCGCTATATAGCTAATCGAACTATTAGATATATATAATTATATTATTACTTAATAAAAGAATTATAAAGAAATCGTCTAGATAATAGAATATTATTTTTTATAGAAGAATCGCGATTAAGATCTAAATAAGAGTCTTTATAAAGAGATTAAATAGAAATAATAATATATATAATTTAAATAATAGATATCGTTCTTTTTAATAGCGTTTATTATAATTAAAACTAAATAGTTATTAGTTCGATATAGCGACGAGTATATATCTAAAGACGTCTTTAAGATCTCTTTTAATAAATTAAATCTTTAAGTCTTTCTATAATAATACTACTACTATATTATTATATATAATATATTTTAATACGCTTTACTTCGCTTAAATATTATTATTAACTAAGTAGTTATATAGAAATAAGAGATTATAAATTTATCTTTAATCTCTATTATATTTCGATATTAAA